CATGGTCTAAGGGGGTCCTCTTTATTATGCGGAACAACTGTCTACTGTTGCCTATTGCCGCTGCATTTTCCATCGCTTTTGCTTTCTACAACCACCACTGTTCGCGATCATTGCGTAGGCTTTTTATCGCCCTGCGCCTAAGCTGACTTCTCTCTTCGTGTTTAGAACAAGGTGGGATGAGTTTAGCAGCAACTATCAGTTCGGTAGATGCTACTGAGATCCATGGCTTCTTCCTAGCTATATGGTTTACTTTACTAGCAAATATCACTGATGTTTCCACAGCCTTTTTGATACCATTTGCAGCTGCCCCCGGATCGGAATCACTTACATGGTCGCCTAACTGCTTTTCTAGTTGTTCCTGAAGTGTATTCATAGCTCTGCTATCATTAGGGAGAACCCTAAGAGGTTTCCTCGCGATGTCTTTCCTGCGTCCAGTAAGCCTCAAACAGATACGAGCTCGCACCAATGCATGATCTGAATCTTATAACACGTGTCCTAGAACGAGCGACAGTCCTCTATCGAACCCCTCCATCGGTGGCTGATGGCGATGTGATCTAGTTGCGTCCAACGTTGAGACGACTTCGGGGGTCGCCAGGTCAACAGATGTTTTTCCTTATGCTTAAAATGAGTGTTTGCTAGAAATAGTTGGTTATCTGAGCAGAGTTGCAACAGACGGTCGCCATTGTCTGTTCTTTGAGCTGAGACACCATAACATCCTCCCAGGTGTCTCTCATTTTCGCTTAGTCTACCTACTTGAGCATTAAAGTCACCAGCCATTATTACTACATCAGAGCGCCTAACTTTTTGGAGGAGGTCCGAAAGCTTTCTGTAAAACTCATCTCTTACATCGTCTGGACTGCATTCAGTGGGGGCTTAGGCTGATATAACGAAGAGGCAACGGCAAGTTTCCCTATCCTTCCGAGTCCTTACTGTCCCGTTTAGTCGGACGGCGCACAAACGACTATCTACAGGGATCCAGTCAAGGAGAGATTGTTCTGCCCTACGACTCAATGCTATACCTACACCAGCGAGACTCCTGGAAGCAGCATCAGGGCTACCGGATACACGAAGGGTAAATCGAGCTGCTTCTTTATCTTGACATGGTGAGGTCAAGTGAATGATGCTACTCGGGTCCTGTATGCGCGTTCCCGAGACGCAGCATACATCGATGGCACGAGATTCTAAAGTTCTAGGAAACGAAGCCTGTTGCCCTATTTGACACAATGTCCGTACATTAAATGCTCCAACATGTAGTTTAGAACCGGGTTTAAGGAGACCAGGTATGACGTTTCGTGAACTCGCATCGTTTGCATTAGCGGTGCAGTGTGATAAAGGAATGTGAGAAGAGTTAGTCGTGGAGATAAGAGAGGTATTAGGGGGTGTAGGAAGGATTTGATTTTGACCAATTTGGCCTCGTGTGCTGTTACGGGTATGAGGGCGGTTATCACTTCCCGGCTGCCCACACCGTGGAAGGTTGTTTCTTGAGGGACCTGAAAAGGAAGGTAGGTTAGTGTTGGTCTTGGAGACCTGGGTGCGTGACCGCAGAGCCCGAGGGACAACTGCTTTAGGCCGGTCACGCACGGCCTTTTGACGAAAGGTATTTTGAGGATTAGCTCCGCTCTTAAAAGCCCTTAGTGGGCACCCTTACCAAAGGAGACGGAAATGCGTGAGATAGGGTGAAGTGTGACACTTTTAGGGTCGACTTTTTCTAACCCTCCCTTCCTTCTGAGAAGGCAGCATTGCTGCAGATGCTGGCTGTTCTAAGGAAACACCTTGCTGCTGTCACACCCCTCTGCAGTCAGTAGTACGACTTCGCCCTCAGACCTTGAGTGGCTGCTTTTATTCTGATCGTTCTCCAATTGACCTGCCTGGCATGGTAAAACCTTCAGGAACATATGTTCCAGCCATTATAGCTCGGCTGGGTCATCACGATAGTCAAGCCTGACCACCACGTCATGGTAGCAGCTTCGGTCGGGGATCATACGATTGAGAACAGTTTTATTGTCCTATGATGGTTTCTAAGTCTGGTTTAAATTGTGTGAATCCTAATTAGTGAGATATGTAATGTGCAGATTATGATAGAGTAATTTATGTCGAGTCATTTTGTTAGTACTGTCTTACCGTGCATCGGAATGTAAGTTTATTCTACATAGGCTTTACTTGGTGGCGTACAGTGTCATATTAATGTTTCATTGAATTGGAAATTGACCTTATACAATGAGGAGCTATGAATGTTGACCAAAGTTATAAGGTTTTATGATACTGTTTATTACACGTAAAATTTTTAGTAAAAATAACTCATGGTACTAATTGTATTTTTTGAAGAGGTCAGAGCTGTTACCGAAGTGAAGAATTGAGAGAGAAGCTCGTTCTAAAAATTTGCGCCTTTGTCTTTCTCGCAGTTTCGTTATCTCTTTATCACGAATGGACATTTATGTGTCTATTATTCAATTAATATTGAATTATGTATGGTTTCTAAAACTATCCCACGTTTTTATAGGTCCGTCTGAATATTATATCCAATCTAGAGTGTGTGAATCAAATCATGGGAATTACACAGCTTAGTCAAAGTTTGCTTCCTGCCATTGTGGAGTTGGCGAGTGATACAAAATGGCGTGTTCGTTTAGCAATAATTGAGTATATGCCTCTTTTAGCCAGTCAACTTGGTTTGCAATGTTTTAACGAGCGACTCACAAATTTATGCCTAGGTTGGTTAGTAGACGATGTATACGCTGTGCGTGAAGCAGCAGTAACTAATTTACGAAAACTTATGGATCAGTTTGGAGTTGATTGGGCCAGTTCTCAAATTATCCCACGTGTAAGTTGGCTACACTTTGTATTCTCTGATTTTTCTTTTATCTTTCGGCTAAACGAGCATGCTCTATTTTCACATTTGTAAATTATTTTCGTCACAGTAAACTTGTTTTAACTGCAGGTATCGTTGAGTTTTTTGATATTATTCATATGATTTTCATATGATATTCAAAAGTTCGCTTATCAAGCCCATTAAATTAACAAAAGTATACCACAACCTTTGTTCATATTGTAAAACATGTCATTTTTCACTAAACTGATGTCTTTTTTGCCTCAGAATTCTCTTGGACGTTCTAAATTGCACCAATAAGCTAAATGATGCAACAGTTTTTCATTGTTTATTTTTGTTGGATAAGCTCCATAACTCCAAATCTAACCTTCAGTTCTCCTGTTTTACTATATTCAATAGTATTTCACGTAGTATCAAATTATCGCCAGTTGTTTGTTTGCCTCTCCTTGTTTTATGAATACTTCATTGATTGTTTTCTCTGAAAGTTGAATAGAAGTGTTTCAATTTATTTCTAGACTCAAGTCGAATCCTCTTTATAATCTTGATAATTAGAAACTTTTTGTTACTAACCATAAATAATACTCATCTGACTGACTATTTCAGGACTTCTGTAGACAGTCTAATTGACTAATTTTCTATCCTCATTGCTTTCCTAACTTTTAATGATCTTTTTTCTTTTTAAATTTATTTCACTGGATTATACTTGAATAATATGCTCGAACCCTAATCGTCTCTATTGATGCTTCTACTAACTCTACTACTATGGGATGTGAACTGACAATTACATCTCTCTGTGTTGATGTGGTATGGCAACTTGAACTTTCGTACGTATGTATGAAGTTCTGCGTTATAGCTGACTGACTCAATGGCGTTTAATGAAGTGAACCATAAGTCCTGTTGAACGTTTTCTGGTTTTATGTTCAAATAAGTTCAAATATAGTCCCTGTTCAAACAGTTCGTAAAAAGACAAGCAGAAAGAAGATATTTTCATCATGACGTTCGTTAATATATATATATATATATATATATATATATATATATATATATATTACAACGATAAAATGATACCACCTGAGTAGTAGTGTTACGTAGTAATATTTTTACAAGTGATTATAAAAATAACGAACGATTAGCTAAGTGATTAGGAGAAGGAGGGTGTGACAATTATAATAAGCATCTTAATTGTGTAAATATCGGAAACAATCAATTTAGCGGTTATCAAACTCCATAATACTTAATAAGTGATCTTGATAATTAGTCAATTTCATAAAAATTTCGGAAAAATTAAGACACAAATACTAAAATCAACCCCAAATGTGAGAGAAATTGGAAAATGTCTCCTAAAGGATAAAATAATTTGAGGTTCTTACATTTATGACATGGTTAAGTAAAAGATGCTTAGAGATTATAAAGACCTATACTATCGTACACTTGGCGGGCACTAGACACCATCTTAAGTTTAATAAAAGCTTCAAAATTGTCCACCGTAAACCATCAAGTCAATCACAGTGATTTGTTTGCCTATCGCTAAATCTATTGAAATCTACATTTATAAGCCTAATCTTTCAACTCAACAGAGGTTCGTTCTACCATCTCTACCGTGGCCTTAATTATATTATTATGTAATACTGTTACTCGAATATAATTTCATTGGAAATTCTATGTTTCAATGTAGATCCATGATGATGACTTTGACGAAATTTAGTTCGTATAACACCTTCAATTGGTTTCTAAACATTTTAGCGTTTATGCTTTGTAACTTTAAAGCCAATGGTTATGATTATTGAATAAAATCCCCTCTCTTATGGTAATATTCTTCATGATAGGAAAATGAAAATATATAATTAAGTTCATTTCACTTCACAATATGCTTGATTATTACTGTTGTCCCATCTCCGTTCACAAACTTCAAGTATTATTTAAGATCCACAAATTGCTTAAATTCTGGTTTATATTGTTTTTAAATATTGAACTGATTGGTTTAGTTGCTACCTATTAGTCCAAGTTTTACCCAACTTACAGCCCTTTGTGATTATCAGTTAACTATGTCAAATGATTATTGATAGTTCAATTCTTTATATGCAAGAACAGTGACATTAATAGTTTGTTCGCATTATAATTGCGATGCCCATGTTTTATCAAAAATTTTATTTATACCTTGAAGTGGGAATATAAACTCTTACTTGTAAAAGCCTTATTTGAGCAGTTTTTAAGTTATTAGTCATTAGCTTCTGTTGTAATGTTTCATTCACTAATTCTTTCACATCATATTCCTAAGGAATATATATCTGCTCTGTCTGCTTCAAGAGGACTAGTCTGCAACTGACGTAGAGAATTGAGCAGAACAAATTTATTATGTTATGTCAAGGTCAAACAAGTTTCAAGCTTCTATTAAACCTATGTGTTTTCATAACGCTGTGTTTTGCATACAGTCTATGGTCATTGGGATTTAACTACGTACTGAAATCTCCAGTCCAAGGAATTATTGTTTACCTGTTTGTGCTTTGTCTGCATATACATCGGTGTGAGTTTTCGACGTACATACTGTCTTATGGTCTTTTAACTCTTAGTTAATCTTATTTCATTGTTTGAAAAATATCTGAAAAATGAAGCTTCAGTACCAACGATACTTCGGAAAGCACTGGTAAGTAAATGAAAAACTAAATTAAATGTAGGTATTTAGATGATTCGGTCAGATTTGAAGGTCGTACTGAAGTCACTTCATACTTACGAATTGCTGAAATAGTTGTAATGTCAGTTTTCCAGACCTAGATTTTTAGTGTTATGTGTTTTGCTGCATTTTTGGACCAAGAAATTTAGATAAAGTGGTCTAAACCCCTGTTTCATGACGTTTCAAGTTTTGGTAGTGTTATTGACGTAGGTGACTTCAGTTGTTGGATTCTCAATTTAGGTTTAAAGAAATGAATTAACGGCTCTGTCTTTTGGTAAAAAACGGTTGAAAAATCATGTTTTAGAGGTTATTTTAATTCTAGTTTGCTTTAATTGTTTTGCTTTGATCGTACATATATCACCAGTCTCTTATTTGTTAAAGAATAACTACATGAAAATTCGTTCAGTCCAAATATCTGGTAAAAATTTTAAGTCTTCGAAAAATAGATTATCAGTTCATAAAAACTCACACAATGTAACGTCACACAAACCACCAAATTTTTAACGGTTGTTTTTAATATTATGATGCCAAACAGTTAAATATTTGATAGTTATATTTTCTTAAAATAATTTACAGCTCATACAACTTGCTCATGATCAAAATTATCTTCGTCGAATGATTTGTTTGGCATCCCTTCATCAACTTGGTGAAGCCCAGTCTTGTCGATCTGAATTACTGCAGAAACATTTACTTCCTACTATAGTTCAACTGGGTCAGGATCCTGTACCGAATGTTCGTTTCAAAGTAAGATTGGTATTGAGCTTTGATAATTTTGTCCATTTTTTTTTATGCTGGAAAATTTAGAGTACGACCAAGCCATGATCATTAAAATCTATCTAATTAATGTCACTATTTACCACCGTAGGTTAAAAATCTAATCTTTTTATCATAGGTTCCGTTGTCAGTCATAGTGCAGTAAACTATTTTATACCGGTTTAGTCCAAAACATGAATGTTTTCATATCAGATTTTAATGATTATTTCCTGAATATCGAATTTTGATGACTTTTTGGATATCTTTTCTGAACATTCTAGGTTGGTCAGATTTTGGGCAAACTTGGCCATCTTCTGGATGCATCGACTATACAGACATTTGTTAAACCAACGTTAGAAAAACTGGGTTCTGATACAGATCCAGATGTTGTTTTTTATGCCAAAGAATCCAGCGAATTACTTCATCTTTCAGGAAGATGAATATCATGTCAAAAAACCCTACGCATTTTATTCTGTGCACAGAATAATTATGATATTTTATTACATGTAAATTGACAGCATCTGGCATCTTTCTTCCTTCAGAGTAGTGATTTTTTATTAATAAAGTAAATGTTAGATTTTGTGTTTGTGGTTCTTGTTCAAATGTATGTGTGTGCCTTTTAGCAAACTATCTGCATATATTCGTAAATTCTGTTTTACTATTTTATTGAAGAAAACGATGAAGAAGGATGTGCATGTTGTCGTCTTATTTGTTCTCTACTTCAGGAAAGTAGTTTTCTTTCAGAAAACAAAACTTAAATTTTTGTAATGCTTCGTTTCTTTTTTATTCAGTAATACTTCGGAATGCAATAGTGTAAAGAATTACAATAATTAGTCATGTGCTTGACTCTAGTTCGTTGTAAAATGACACAAAACAACCAAGTATGCTATATAAAAAAATGTCCCAGTGATTGTAGCTGACAAACTAAACTTTGAGTTAGTAAAAGTATGTCTGTTGCTGCTGTTTTCTTATCGGAGACACATCCCGAAAACAGCATGCTTTGTCACTTTGTTGAGAACACAGTAGTACTTCTAATTGACCATTATAGTATGAAATCGTAAACTAACTAAAACGTAAAGTAAAATGTTCAAGTTTGTAAATGATTTATAGAGTGTCTGTACAGTCATCGCATTCATTTTCGCTACTGTTTTACTTCCAGTTACTTACTTATTTTTTAATGATTTCAGGGCTAAATGCTCGTATGTAAGGTGATTTGCAGCTACCATATTATTTGTTGTTTGGAAAAACCTAGTGTTTGATAATTTATGTTGAATGCCTGTTCACCTTAGTGCATCACCAAGTACATTATACCAGGCTTTACATCGCCATTGATTGACTAAATAAAATAACATATTTTATTTAGTCTTGTCTCTAACTGTTATTAGTTTGAAGATCGAGGTTACTAGCACTAGATCACTTGTTAATGTTAGAGAAATCTATCAACTCTCGTAAAATTTGATTTGCTAATGGACTCAATTTAAATGATATAAACTTGGTTGCGAATATGCCCACGTCATGCTTTATATCAATTTAAACTAATTCGCAACTATGATCTTGTATATTAGATGTTTAGTAGACTCCTGAATCAATAAACTTAGAAGTGTTATTCATCTTATTGCAATTATTGCATGTGCAGTGTCTGATGACTTTGAGTGAACTACGTTGATTACTTGTGAAACAATAGTGTGATATTAGAACGTCTATGGCATTGATGCAATCGAATCACGCTAAAATTTTAACCAAGAGATAAGTGCATAACTTGGTAATAAACCTTCATAACTACAGTAGTTGACGCTCAGTAAATGCTGCACTTATTAGAAATAAGGTGTCAATTATGTTGGAGTTCGTTTCCAGATTTTCAGCGGGAAAATGACACTAGGCTTTTGAGAATTTAATACTACTGTCTTTTAATATGTTATTACTAATAGTCCGGTCATATATTTCCATTATTACTCCGGTCCCAATTTTCCGTCTCATTTGTCGTCATGTCTCCTATTTTCTAATCATTTTATTTTGAGCATGAGCTTTGTATCCAGATTTTCTTTTTAATATGTTATTTTAGCATACGTATTTTCTATTGTGGTATTATGGTCTAGTTGTTCATGCTTTTATTCACGTGTATTTATGAGTTCAGTCAGTCAGTCAGATGCAACGTAGAACTTCGTACGTAAGTACATCAGTTCATGTCGCCATACCACATCAGCACAGAGAAGTAATTGTCAATTCAAATCCAATAGTAGTAGAGGTAGTAAGGGAATTAGAAGTAATCGGAGAGGTTAGGATTAGAAGATATTATTCAAGAAGTATGATTCAGTAGGAAAAGTTTAGAAAGTCAAAACTAGAGGTGTTGAAGAATCCAGAAGATTAGGATTTGAGAGAACACAAAGCATAAATGCACCGGCGCCATTGCGAACGATTTTGAGCCATGTCATTCAAGGTCTCTAACCATCGATTATTATCATCTCGCGAACCCCAACCAGGTAGTCGACAATTACCGACATGGCTCAGTCCACTCGTCAATGACTTCATGTATTTCTGCCATGTTTTGGTTTGGCCGCACCTAACTTTCTTCCAACCAATTCCTACACTACAAAACAAAGCTCAACGAGGCAGTCGGTGGTTCGGCATACGCAACACATGTCCCAACCACCTCAACTGATGAAGTTTCACCACTTCATCTATTGATCTGCCATCCTTGCCTAGTACTCGTTTCCTAACGACAGCATTGTTTACTCGGTTGTCCCACGATATACGAGCAATGCTTCGAAGACACCTATGATCGAAAACCAGTAACCTACGAATATCTTCTACTCTCGCTGGCCATGTTTCACAGCCATATAGGAGAACGGAGCGAACTGCTGCGCAGTACACTCGTCCTTTGATTAGAGAACGGATATCACGCCTACGCCATAAGTGACGCAGGTTGGCAAAAGCCAATCGAGCCTTCTGTATCCGTGCTGAGATTTCGTTAGTCACCAGGCCATTGGCACTGATGAGACTCCCAAGATAAGTGAGGCGGTCAACACGCTCGACTACTTCACTCCCTATCACTAGTTCAGGTGCCATAAGCTCTCACTCGACCAGTGGTGGAGAGCTTGTATGAGGTTAATGTACTTCTCTGGTACACCTTTCAATGACAGGTGCTGCCACAGAAACTCACGATCAACTGAGTCGAATGCCGCCCTAATGTCCAGGAACACAACTATGGTAGGACGCCTAATTGTGTGTCTGTGTTCCATGAACTGTCGTAGTGTGAAGATGTGATCTATACAACCACGTCCAGGTCGAAAACCAGCTTGGTTTTCTCGAGTCTGCTCTTCCCGAGCTTTCGTTAAGCGTCGAAGTATTATTGAGGCCAATATTTTCGATACTATATTAGACTGATTCCTCTGTGATTGTCACAAGAAGACTGTCCTTTCTTATAGATTGGGACAGTCAATGATTGAGAGCAGTCAGATGGGATTACGGCCAGTTCCCAGTTTTTACCTAAGATCTCAGTCAACCTAGCTGCTAAACCTGGACCACCATCCTTGAATATCTCAGGGGTCAGTCAATCAGGAACTGCAGCTCGCCCTCTCTTCAGATTTCCTAAGAGGCTTTCTTACGGTGTCTTCCCTACGTCCAGTAAGCCTCAAACAGATACGAGCTCGCACTAGGGCATGATCTGAGTCCAAACATGTGCTCCAGAACGAGCGACAGTCTTCTATCGAACGTTGAGACGACTTCGGGGGTCGCCAGGTCAACAGATGTTTTTCCTTATGCTTAAAATGAGTGTTTGCTAGAAATAGTTGGTTATCTGAGCAGAGTTGCAACAGACGGTCGCCATTGTCTGTTCTTTGAGCTGAGACACCATAACATCCTCCCAGGTGTCTCTCATTTTCGCTTAGTCTACCTACTTGAGCATTAAAGTCACCAGCCATTATTACTACATCAGAGCGCCTAACTTTTTGGAGGAGGTCCGAAAGCTTTCTGTAAAACTCATCTCTTACATCGTCTGGACTGCATTCAGTGGGGGCTTAGGCTGATATAACGAAGAGGCAACGGCAAGTTTCCCTATCCTTCCGAGTCCTTACTGTCCCGTTTAGTCGGACGGCGCACAAACGACTATCTACAGGGATCCAGTCAAGGAGAGATTGTTCTGCCCTACGACTCAATGCTATACCTACACCAGCGAGACTCCTGGAAGCAGCATCAGGGCTACCGGATACACGAAGGGTAAATCGAGCTGCTTCTTTATCTTGACATGGTGAGGTCAAGTGAATGATGCTACTCGGGTCCTGTATGCGCGTTCCCGAGACGCAGCATACATCGATGGCACGAGATTCTAAAGTTCTAGGAAACGAAGCCTGTTGCCCTATTTGACACAATGTCCGTACATTAAATGCTCCAACATGTAGTTTAGAACCGGGTTTAAGGAGACCAGGTATGACGTTTCGTGAACTCGCATCGTTTGCATTAGCGGTGCAGTGTGATAAAGGAATGTGAGAAGAGTTAGTCGTGGAGATAAGAGAGGTATTAGGGGGTGTAGGAAGGATTTGATTTTGACCAATTTGGCCTCGTGTGCTGTTACGGGTATGAGGGCGGTTATCACTTCCCGGCTGCCCACACCGTGGAAGGTTGTTTCTTGAGGGACCTGAAAAGGAAGGTAGGTTAGTGTTGGTCTTGGAGACCTGGGTGCGTGACCGCAGAGCCCGAGGGACAACTGCTTTAGGCCGGTCACGCACGGCCTTTTGACGAAAGGTATTTTGAGGATTAGCTCCGCTCTTAAAAGCCCTTAGTGGGCACCCTTACCAAAGGAGACGGAAATGCGTGAGATAGGGTGAAGTGTGACACTTTTAGGGTCGACTTTTTCTAACCCTCCCTTCCTTCTGAGAAGGCAGCATTGCTGCAGATGCTGGCTGTTCTAAGGAAACACCTTGCTGCTGTCACACCCCTCTGCAGTCAGCAGTACGACTTCGCCCTCAGACCTTGAGTAGCTGCTTTTAGTCTCATCGTTCTCTAGTCGACCAGCCTGGCATGGTAGGACCTTCAGGAACATATGTTTCAGCCATTATAGCTCGGCTGGGTCATCACGATAGTCAAGCCTGACCACCACATCAAGGTAGCAGCTACGGTCGGGTCTTTTATGAGTTACTTGAATTTGATGTATATCTTTGTCGTCTTTTCTTATCTGGTCCTTGGAAAACCAAGCATCTGCATCGTCACTCAACAAAGCAGATTATTTGGCCACTCTCTTGGGATAGTCTGTCCTCAATTTCAGATGCCTCACAAGGTTATGTTGAGTAGCTCGTTCTATCAAAATTACTAAAAGTTTGGGAGTCTATATCGTTATGTAATTGACGCTAGGATCATTGAGCATCCAAAGTCACCACACTTTCTCTTAGTAGTTTTCAGCACGGTACTTTACAACAACTTATCACTTTTTGGTTGTGTTGCTTTCTCTAAGCTGTCAGTGAGAATTACGTGCGTCACCGGGCCCTACTTCAAGTATGGGAGTCCTTTATTGTTTAAGTTAAGTTTGATGGTCTTGTTTTCAACTGGTTGTATTTTCACTTCGCATCTTTGCGTTCCCCTCAAATAATTTGTTCCACCTACTTCTGAGTTATGTGCCTGATTGACTTTTTGCTTATAGTTTGACAAATCATATTTACGCCGATGTGTCTGTCGAGTGAGGACTGACACGAGTTACGTGTGAATTTCTTTTATAGAAAACTGAAACGAGATGAATTTCTTCAACTTTTCGGACAATAACAGTGCTAAGCGAAATTTAACTCCTTTGAATTGGGTCCATGTACAGCAATTTTTTGTCATCGGGTTCTTTCTATTGTAGTTTATATTGAGTTTATGCGGCTCGGCTGCTTCTATATTTATGTTTCTTGTGTTCGTTCTTTTAGTGAACATATCGCTAGTCCACTGATGAGTATTTCTCAGATCGTTTCTCTTCGGATTAACAAGTATTTTCGTTGAAGGGTTGTGAAGATTGTTGGGTTCCTACGGAATCATAAATCGACCAGTGTTAGACCACCATTAGAAATGTGGAAGATCTGGGCGGCCGTTTCGTCCTAGTCCCGACCGTAGCTGCTACCTTGATGTGGTGGTCGGGCATGACTATCGTGATGACTCAACCGAGCTATACTGGCTGAAACATATGTTCCTGAAGGTCCTACCATGCCAGGCAGGTCGATTGGCGAACGATGAGACTAAAAGCAGCTACTCAAGGTCTGAGGGCGAAGTCGTACTGCTGATTGTAGAAGAGTGTGACAGCAGCAAGGTGTTTCCTTTGAACAGCCAGCATCTGCAGCAATTCTGCCTTCTTAGAAAGAAGGAAGGAAGGGGTTAAAAAGGTTGACCCTAACCTTACCTCACGGATGTCCATCTCCGAGTGGTAAGGGCTTTTAAACAAGAACGGAGCTAATACCAGATCTTTGAGATCAACACCAATCTACTTTCCTTTTCAGGTGCCTCAAGAAACACCCAAGGTTTGTGCAGTCGGGAAGTGACATAAGCCCTCATACCTGTAACAGCACACGAGACCCAATTGGTCAAAATCAAATCCTTTCTACACCCCCTAACATCTCTCTGATCCCTAAGACTAACTCTTCTGACATTCCTTTATCACGTTGCCCCTCTGCTGCAAACGATTCGAGTTGCCGAAACGTTCAACTAGCCTTCAGCAACACTTTGGTTTCCCACGATTTCCTCCAGTCATCCTGAATGGCAAATCGATTTAAGTCCTCCTAATCTACATGATGTTGAGAAAGCTATGGGAAATCTAAAGTGAAATAGAGCAGCGTGTCCTGATAGATTGATTCCTGAGATTTTTAAGGATGGTGGTCCAGTTTTGACAGTCAGATTGACTAAGATCTTAGGAAGAATCTGGTAACTAGGACTGATCCCATCCATCCCTAGTTATCTCAATTTATAGGAAAAGACAAAAGTCTTCTTGTGACAATCACAGAGGAATCAGTCTAACTAATATAGTATCTAAAATATTGGCGTCAATATTACTGGGACGCTTAACGAAAGCTAATGAGGAGCAGACTAGAGAAAACCAGTCTGGTTTTCGACCTGAACGTGGCTGTATAGACCACATTTTCATTCTACGACAGGTTCTGGAACACAAATACTCCTTTAGTCGTCCGAAAGAAGTTGTCCTCCTGGACCTTAAGGCGGCATTCGACTCTGTTGATCGTGAGGTTCTGTGGCAGTGTCTGTCATTAAAAGGTTTGCCAGAGAAGTGCATTAACCTTATAAAAGCTCTCTACTCTATCACGACAGGTCAAGTTAGAGCTAATGGCGAAATTTCATCGGAATTCTTTACTTTAAGTGGTGTTCGTCAGGGCCGTCCACTCTTTCCATGCTTTTAGAGTTAGCTTAGTCTCTGGACCACTGAGCCAACGGACTTAAATCTAATCTCGACCAACTGACGTTCTCGAAAATTATCGTATATTCAGCAGTCGCTAGCCGTATTAGTAATTTTATTGAGAGGTCGTGACCATTGGAGTTAAACCCTTTTGGGTGTACAACAGTGCTCATCAATGTTAGTGTTTGAGGCTGCTCAAGACCATAGAATAATCGAAGTTCGACATTAATGGTCGAGGGTCTGACTTGCGGGCAGAGTTCGTACTAGATTTTGGTAGGGCTTCCGTCCAAATACTTTAATTATTGTTCTTGAGATCAGTGCTGATATAAGCAGTCTGATTGGATTTCTTTATTTCGTTTATTTGATAGCGGAGTTGAAACTGGTATCTGTAACAAATCTGCCGAACATTCATAGCTATTTGTCGTGCCTCAACAGTTGTGATATTATATCTGTAGAAAGCAAGATTTCTATTTCTCCTGAGCTTTGTTCGTATAATTAAAAGTATAATAGTCTGACCTATTTACTGTTGAACACACTCGTTTAATGCTGATGACTTTGATGACAATTAAAGCCACACAGATTCTGTTTTCGTGGAATGTCTAACGCTATAATTCAATCTTTCTGGGAGAAAGCAGTATTCGGTTTTGAGTGTATTGATTGCTTTGATAGATTCAGTACTCTGTCATTTCTATTGTCTGTTTTGATGTTTGATCACATTTTCTTCCAAGATGCTCCGTTTTTTCTTGAACCTATTTCTTAAGTCGACTGTAGAGTTCACTGTAATAATGTGCCCTGGAATAAGTTTTTCAAATTTATTGTTAGTTATGCGTTGGTATTTCTGCTGTCGACAGTGAGTACCTGTGATCATTAACTCTATCAGTCATCTTCCAAACAGTTCATTCATTGTGATGTTCCAAAACAAAAACAGCAGAATTAATTCATTATGCGAATCCCTATTATATCTTCAAACAACCAATTTACTTAAATCATGGAACTGTTTGCTGTTTGGTCAGTTTTTTTTCGCACTTTACTCGACTGTTATTGTAAACGAGAGTAAATAATTCGAGCTACGTGATATCATAATCTGGGTGGTAGATTTCAAATGACAGTTGTTTGACACGTTCCGTTAAATTGAGATCTCATGAAGCTTGGACTAATATTTAATGATTAAGTCGAGTGTTTTATTAGGCCTTAAACTTGACAGTCGTGCACTCCAATATTTAAAGCTAAAATTCACGTTGTGTGTTTACAAGCCTGATCGAATCAGTTTTATTTCTTCTAGTCTAAGTTTTGAAGCTTCATTCACTGGTACTACGAAATTGTTTCAGTTTGGATTTCAATAAAAGAATTGCGGCGGGATAGGAATTAAGAGATACTTATTTGTATCGACCGCGTTGTAGTTGTTTCTATAAAAGATAATAATAGGAGTTTACATCTTTATTTTGTCGTTCGTACAGCTTTAAGCAATGAATATTAACGTTGAATTTCTCCTTTTGATATTTCTCGTTTTATGTATTTTTCTATTCTGTAGCGAGCTCGTATGACCTCAAGTGACCCTGAAAAAGATTTAAGAAATGAATAGTTTAGCATCACTGTCATTTTTTAAACAATTATCAAATTCTCTGGGAGTCATGTTAGATGAAACTTTTACCTCCTTGCGTTGTCATTATTTAACTTTATCAAACCGTTCTCTTCATAAAACTATGTATATACATCCATTATTAAAGATTAAATCTTAGTTGAATCCACAATGATGAACTAAAATCTTAGTAGAGTCGGTTAATTTACTGATGATTCACACATTTAATAGTGTTATTTGATATGAAAAACAGCAACATATCGAGTTTTACTGTTTACATTATCGCTGTCTTATTATGTTTTCAGTAAATGATGCATAGAAATCATTCATATAAATAACTTGATACCCTGTAAAGTACAAAATTTCCCCTCGACCATATTATTGGTCTACAGCTACATATCACCCCATTGCTAGTGTCTGAACTATTTTTCAACCAAGGATCACTGTAGTTGTATTCATTACGTGGTGACATATTCACTCTCTTATTGTGTTGTGTGATTATTTGTTCAGGCCAAGATATAAACAATAAGCAGTGATACTCTATATTTATAATCCAGAAAATTCGAACCAATTCAGCGAATTTCGAGTTTACGCTATCAGTTTGTCATTCGCAAATTCCCTTATTCATAGCCGCTTTTGGCTCACTCATCTGTAAGTGTTGTTGGTCTGATATGTTTTGTCTAGTCTATGTCTGCTTGAAGCATAACAAATTTCGTAGTGTGGCAACGGACTTCTGAACAAAGCGGCACGGTAAAAAGAAAGAATTTATCGAGTTGTGAACATGTAAGGAGCTGACTCAAGGTTACTGGTGTTAAAGCGTAATTCTGATTGGTGTTTTGTATGTCGCTTGATGGCCAACGGTTAGTGATATACCAGATGGAGACTATCTGTTGAGCTAAGCGCAATTGTTGTAATCATTGGCTGAAGATTATTGGTGACATGATCTAGAATCGTTCACATTGTTTTGCTTATTTGATATAATGGTGTTTTAGCGGCTCACAAACTGCATTACCGAGGACTTATTTGGTTGTTTAATTATAATCAACAAATGTATTAGGCTGTAGAATAACACGAAGATAATTGTTATCCATTATACGTACCCTATGATTAGTCGTTAAACTCTTCCATTTTCACCACAAAATTGAAAAGTTCACAAATGCAGAATGAGTATTCTTCATTCGTGCCGAGGTTTTGTAGGTCAGTGCAACTATACAAATAAGAAAGTAAGTCCAATCCTTTTACTCCCTGTTCCCAAACTAAGCATCAATTACAATTTATCTTCCACTGAAAGTTTTCAGATTTCTTCAAAAGATGTTCAAAAGACTACAATTCATTAACGTTTTCAACTGACAGGACACAATGCATAAATGTTTCTGGCTGTTATGGACAAATACTTAAAAATATTAGAATGTAGAAAATAAGGGGGTTATCACAGACTCACATGATAATCTAATGGTGCACATGATGATCCACAGGGATAAATGTTTGCGCAGAAATAATTCAGTGATTTGTACCTTAGACGACACTGTCTCGTATTGAAACAGCTATAAATTTTTTCACAGTTATAGGTATCTGAATATACCCAGCTTCGCTTTAATAATGCTTGTAGGGGATTTTCCATAATAAACGCTAAAGTATGCGCTAAACAAATGGTAAAAATTCTTTATAATTTACTGCATTTTGATTTTTTAAAAAGATTATAACCAAAAGCTATCATTTTGAAATTTCTAACTCGTAGATGGCAGTTGTATCAAAAATTACACCACTACATAGATGCCATGGACAAATATGCATTGAATAAGATAATTTCTATGTTAGATCATATTCCTACACTATCATTTGAATTTCCGAATCAAATCACTCAGTCATAGGGTCTTTCTTAACAAGCAACATGTGGGAATCTGCTGGATTGGGAGTAATATATTACCATTACTAACAATCGTAGACAATAGAGTAGAGTAGTACGTCTTTAGTTTTTCTGTTATCCAGATCACTCTCTCGGTATCTGTGAGCTGAGAGAATTGAATCTTCAAAATTTAAATGTCTACATCATGCTGTTGATTCAGACAATGTATCCGTAGCGGTTCCATACGTTTATTAGACATCTGTAATTTAAATTTCAATAGCTGTGTAATGGAAGAAAACTGTAAGACCAGATAGAACAAGCAATTTGTGTGAAGAAGGCAAAGTTTCCTAGCCAAAATATGTACACCATCATCAGATATCGATTTCCAAAACAAGCGTATTCATGTCTGTCTTCCACATGCCTATTCTTCACAACACGTCGATCGGGCCATATATCTAGATTTGACACTTCGGTCATAATTGTATATCCGCACCGCAACTGTAGTTACTTGGTATGATCAGGGTTCGTGTACAACAATTACCTAATTAATTTAACTTACTGCCCCGTATGGAGTATAGGATCCAACCAAGAGTCTCCAGGTATCTTTTTCCTTGACTCTAATTTACAATTGTTATTAAATGCAACTGATAGTCAATATATGATTTTCATTCTCGGTTTCATATGTTGTTTGCTCCTTCTGCCTTGAAGATTCCAAGTAACAGCTTAGCATGTGATGCAATATACTAGTTTCGCCAAAATGTTTCGTATCAAACACTAGTGCCTTTTCTTCAGTTCTTCACATAGACGCGTTCAATGTATTCATAGTATTCCGTTGTGTGGTACAGATGGTCGTGATCTTCCTCTGTAGTTCGCACAGTTCCTAAGAGCTATCTCTGATCTCTTGATACCATTTCATCTGCCCGAATCTATTTGAGACACTTTCGTAGTTGCCCCTGTATCTGACCTGAGTAACTCGCACGGTATACTGACTGGCCCTGTTAGTTTGCCACTCTTGATTTGTCTGATGAACTTAGTAATTTATTTAAATAATGTTGAATAACATTTATGGGAAGATCATTGTGTGCTTCTTTGATGTTCAATATGTTCAGCATTATTGCTGTATTTAAAAGCTTTTGAATGTTTTTGCACACCTTTTCCTTTGTTCTTGAACTTTATTTTTTTCTTTCTCGTTCCTAACTGGTGTATCTTACTTCCATACCAGCTTCTTGGTTGCATCATATAGTCCTCTTTGGACAGGATCATAGTGAATCCTTGTTTGTATGGCATTTTCTTCATAACTAGAATATAGCAACACCTCTTCTGTCCAGACTGTGTCTAATGAGTATCACTTATTCGAAACAGGGTTGGGTTGTAGTTTGCGTTTCTGAAGTTATTTGAAGGATCACCACAGTTTCCCACGTCGTTTGTACACTCCAGGTACCTATATTACTCTGGTTGTCTGAATGAGCATCAGGCTTGTGGCGTCCGAACAGTTTTTCTTTTCATCATAAGACATCAAGACTCTTCTGTGTAAGAAGACCCTTCTCCTCTCAGCGAAGAGTTTATGTGTTTCTCTCTTGTTAGTGGCTTTTCAGTGTTCTGTTTTGAAGTGAGATTATCAAACCCAACCTTATCCCTTTACTCTGGCTTAATATCGACAGTAACCATTCAGAGCTTATTGATGGATTTGTTTTCAGACGAGCGAAATCTAACATAACGTAACAAATGTAACATAACATAGCTATTCATTTAAGTGATTTGATGATCTATGTTCTCTGTGATTCCATAAATGTTTGAATCGGAAGTCTTTATAAGCAAAATAAATTATATATTAGTTTACTACATCTTGTTTGAGGTGTATACAGTCCTAAGTCGTTTCATTATCATTAAAGGCTGGCTTATCACGAAAATGTACATTTATTCAAGTAAATCCCATCCTGTTTAACATGTTTTGTGAATTCCACTCAGATCACAAATATTTATGGGGGACTTATTTTACAGAAAATGCTATCACGATTCTAAGTGCTATCAATGATTAGATTGTTCACTTGGGTCTTAATATAATCTGTTTTTTCTTTATCTTCGATTTTCTTTTGTTTATTATTTTTATGTCAACTATCTGATAAGAAAAGTATGTTGAAACTGGACAGATGTGATTAGATTCTACTTTACTCAAGTCAATTAATTCAAACAAATGATCAAGCAATCGATTAGACAAATAGTCAGTTGGAAATAACGCAGATAAATAAAATAACGAGTAATTTTTAAGTGGTCAGATAAAAGAAATTTAGGTATAAACCTTATACTGTTGTTTTCCTGTAAAAAAAAGTGAGTAATTTTGTCTGAACTGCAAGCACTTTTCTGTAAGTAATAACTTGAGAAATTGCAAATAATCTACATAACCCAAATAGTGACCTATTGTAGGAAACATTCACATAAAACTAGTTCGTTGGTTTAATGACACATAAATATCAGACAAAACTAAGAATGTATACTGTATTTTTCAATAATAGTGAATGCATAATAAAAGGTGGTCCAAATGAAGCAGGCATTCACTAGCAAAATATCTATCTCCATATAACACTGACCATTGAGTTATGTTGTAAATTAAGACTATGATTATTTCTGTCATCCAGTCAATAAGTCAGTGAATTTGAATTATATCTTGCCACATGAAGTGACCAAATTTAATTACTTCTTAATATAACTTAAAAATGAAAGAATCCATGTTACATAATTTAGTTAATCTTTTAATTGAATTGATATCTCAATCCCTCCACAAAACTTGACTAAGCCTAAAATACTATTGATTTCCTCTGAAGTAAAACGGTTGCTAACAGATACAGTTTCATTTAGTATCAATAAATATTTTGGATTCTCATAATTGAAATGCTTATCACAATGAATAGCATGATTACCTAAGGAGATCGTGGTATTTAAAAGTATTATTTAGTTAGAATGAATATTTACCCTTATTGAATGCTCTTTAAAACTAACCTTTAAATAAAAAGAGATAAAGTAAAGAAAAGCAGGTTACTAATGATTAAATGGTGCACAGTTAAAAGCAATGGTTCGATCTATGTCAAACGGTTTACCTAACCTCTGATTACAGCGATCGCGTGAGTTCGAAAAAAATTGTCTGCATCTACTAACGTGGTTGATGTAAAACATTATTATTTCGTGTTCTTAAAAATAATTCTCTCAAACAAAAAAAGATACTGTTAAGTGTTTATAAATTTTAGTTATTTTTCAGTTGCATTTAATTCACTAGTTTTTTGCATTTCATTAGTAGTTATCATAATTATTCAACAACAGTACTGTTTACAAAATTAAAAACAGAATAATAAGTATGAATGAATATTATCTTTTCGTGTTTATCAGCTATTTACGTGACATCCTATTGGATTTATGCTTCATTTGTTAATGAAATTATTATTATTAAGTGTGTTTGTTATAATATTTTCCAAAGAAAGGCAATATGAGCAAGTATAAGAACTACAGAGGCATCACTCTTCTCTCAATATCAGGCAGTCTTCAACAGGGTATTGTTGAACAGAATGAAGGACTCTGACTATCTTCTCAGAAGATGAATTAAACTGCAAAATCGTGCACGGTGGTCATCTGACAAACTCGTTTGAAGTGAAGACCGGTTTCAGGCAAGGTTGCTTACTCTCACCCTTTCTCTTTCTCTTGGTGATCGACTGGATTATGAAGACGTCAACATCTGGAGGGAAGCACGGTATAAAATGGACAGCTAGGATGCAGCTGAAGGATCTGAACTTTGTAGATGACCTGGCTCTTCTATCGCACACGCAACAACAAATGCAAGAGCAGACAACCAGTGTAGCAGCAGCCTCAGCAGGTTTCAACATACGTAAGGGGAAGAGCAAGATTCTCCGATACACCACTACATGCTCCAACCAAATCACTCTTGATAGACATGGCTTGGAAGACGTTGACACCTTCACATATCTTGGCAGCATCATCGACGAGAAAGGTGGATCTGATGCAGATGTGAGGACGCGGATCGGCAAAGCAAAGGCTGCATTTCTACTGAAAACAACTATTAACCAACTCCAAAATCAGGATTTTCAATACAAACGTCAGGACAGTTCTATTGTTTGGGGTGTAAACTTGGAGAGCTACGAAAGGCATCATCCAGAAGATACAAGAGTTTATCATCAGTTGTCTACGCAAGGAACATAATACGCCGAGAAATAGAGAAAGAAATGAGTAAAACGAACAAAAATTGGACGAAAATCGAAAGCAAAGCCCATGACAGAGTTGATTGGAGAATACTGGTCGGCGGCCTATTCTCCATTGGGGGTAACAGGCGTAAGTAACTAAGTAAGTATGTATAGCAGTCTGCAAGACTAGTAGGTTAAAAAATATTAGAACAAAATAAAAATATTATTTATGCACACATAACACTAAGAATAATTGTGAAATCAGTGCAATAAAGTGGTAGGAACTTCACATTATCATATTTCGTAGTCGGTTACGAAAAAAAACAATTATTAGCAATGGTTTTTGTTTGACTGTATCTCTTAATGTTTCACTCCTTGAAGTGTCAAACTTTTCAAAATGATTTTGCTGCTCTTTAGACCTTTGCTAATCAATGGTTGGTAAATCAACTTAGTACTCACACTAAAAATTAAGACATGAATTGTAACAGTCGAGTACCAGGTTGAAATATTAACTTGATATGATAACGAACTTGATAATAATATATTTTCAACATGGTAGGTGCATGCCATTTTTACATGCATCATCAATGGTATTGGAGGTTTGCGGAAGTTGTTCAATTTGAAATCTACTTGAAAGAATACATTGGTCTATGCAAGAAATACAAATTTGGTGACATTAGAATAACCAACCATGTGTTTTGTAGTAACTAGATTTGAGAGGAAATTTTTCGGGTTGTAGCAAGAAGTCTGTACTGTTTGACCAGTGATCACCGCAACAATGATCTGAATTTTAGGTTCTCAGCTCGTGATATTTACTAGATCAGGAAATACTTAGATGAATTTCAAATGTCCGAATCAATGTTTTGACTTGAACAATAATTCTATTTATTTTGTTACTCTATAAGTCAGAACAGATGTGGACTACTGAAAGATATCTCTAATTAAGGAGAAAAATGCAAACAGATAGATTAGCACTAGAAGCGATCCGGAAAGATAAAAATACCAATTCATTAGTTTGAATAAAATATTATTAGGTTAAAAATATACGCACCGTCTGTGACTGCATACTGTCAAAATATAGAAGTTCTTTGATCTTGTCTAAAAGCGTAGTTACCATTTTTAATATTATTAGAACATTTAAATAAATGAAATATTAAAAATCATCAACCTCGTCATATTCCATTCTACAGAAACATTTTTATAATTAAATGTCATTAAGACACTTTTATCCCAAAGAACACCAATATAGATTAATTTCAAAAATGCTATATTTACGCTTAATTGCTCGCACTTTCGAATTGACAAGGTGACCTTCATCAAAGAAAACGAATAGAATACATGTTTATTCTCTATTTTGTATTTTAGTCATCGCTAAAAAGTGTTGTCGATCAAATTTTTAGATGAAGTCATTTATTTGTGTATACATACTCCACTTATTTATTTGTCACACTAGCAATCAAAAAGGACATATATTATATCAGTATTGTTCCCATCACCAGTGTTATCATGTTTGTCAACATACAAGGCTGATTTCCCATAAATACACTAGGATATATTAGCATCTGGGTGATTGTCCCAAGATATCCTTGATCAGAAAGTATAATAAAACTTGTAACTACAGGCAGTATCGAAGGAGATGGGTCAACAGAGATAGATTAAATTTATTCCTGAATATACTTTTAACTTTATTGTGGGCTATCTCTAATAAGTCATACAGATTTTACATATTCCTAAAATAGTTGTTGATTTTGCAAACACTTTATGGACGACAGCTACTTGTTTTAGTGATTTATTTTCAAAATATTAGACATGTAACTTCGCAAAGATTAAGTGTTTTTGAACACTAATTTACAAACAGTTTTGAGTTATAACTAAATTTTTTAAAATACATGCAGTTTGTAATATTTGACTAGTATAATCATGAATTTAATATATAACGAATAACTTGCATACAATACAAAACGATAATTACCATTTATACTTATTTCTGGAACATTTAATATTTCTTAGATTTCCTACACTTCTTAAATGTGATGAGGTTCAGTGGGTATTTATCCTTTTATGAGTCTGTATAGGGTCAGATTGACTTATCTTCGTTAGTTATCACTGAATTAGTCTTTACTTTGAACGTAACTTTACTAAATTCAGTTTAAAGTGAGAAAAACCTTTATTTCGATTTGTTTTGTAAATTCTGTTTCCTACTTTAAACACTTCTATTTTCTAGATTTGCACCGACGTTTTAAGCAAGAAGGAATGTTTGTTAGTAAATAACACCCTAAACAGAAATGGAATATTATTATAATCATGAGAAACCTATGTGAATCAACGTTTAGGGGAACTTCTAGTTTAGAAACAAAATTGATTTTAGGAAAGAATTTTAGATTTACATTAGTGCATAAATTTATAATTCGCAATAAAACAAGAACTACAAGAAATTCACCGGAGGGATCTCTTTCTAACAAATTTATCATCAAGCTATGGAGTTGAATTTCAAGGCTTAATTTCTTTAGGAAATAAAAGCTCCGAATAACCATTGATGTAATAAAAGGACTTCACTGCTGTTTTATATAATATGACTGGCAAAAATACAACATTGTATAACTTCTATAGGATAAAGGCGAATATAAAATGTGTGTAATTATTACACTAGCATAGGATTAGAGTGTGAATGAAGTATGATAATTAAAAATTTCAATATGTCGTCATGTTCATTCATTATTCAAAATTCCTCACGGAATGAAATTTCATGTGTATAAACGGCTTGATAAAAAGTTCATTGAAAAGTAATTTTTTTAAAAATCAGAATATAAAATGATAGGAATATGGTGAAAAATAACTTGATCAGAATATTACTGGAATCATGAATCAATCATTGTTGGACCACCTGGAAGCACTGGAAGACGGCTGTTTCATCCTGGTATGGGACTCATCAGAAGTGTGCATTTACGAATTCCGCTACTCACAGAAATCGAATTCAAGACCCTTGTCCCTACTTGCAAACGCCTAAATATATAGGACTGCTGGGCCGGCGCATCGAACAGTGTTAAAGTATAAATCTGATCAATCTGAGGATTTTACATGACCTCAATCATTTATCGTCGATAGGTAACTGCCTACACTCGTACACGGTTTTGAACTCCACTGGTCACGTCCTCTCCCTAGAACTCCGAGAATTTCACCACGAATCTAGACACACATTCTACGATTTAATAGTCTACAAGCATAGAATAATTATGATGTGAAAGTTGGGAGGAATGTGGAGAACAACAAACGAATCTATCATCAACGGTTGTTTAGGTGTTACAATTAGGGAAAAAAATTCCACACAGGTTTAGAATTGAATAATATCTACCATTACATATAAACTGTAATTTTGTGAACTACAAATAATAATAATAATAATAATAATAATAATAATAATAATAATAATAAAATTGATATCAAAAATGAATGTATAACACAGCTGGATATTCATGTTGGTTCGTTTTTATTTTTTTAATTGACATTTTCAGTGGTTGCAAATCGCACTAACACACAAACACACAGGCACACAGACACGTACATACATACACAAACGGAATGTAAGATTTCTTGGAATCGAGGCAGAATGGGGATAAATTAAACATTAGAGATGATAATGATAATAATAATAGTAAGTAATTAATTTGTTTTCCCTTTTTTATGGTTTAGCGTGCTTTTTCAGGGTAGTTTTAAACGGAACCCTCATTACGTAAATAATATTTTTCTAACACGTTCTAAAATATATCGGTTAGCATTGATGTTGCTTATTTGATCCAGTTCATTCTTACTGTCATGTTCATGGTCAGCAAAGAAGTTAGTTGATATGTGGCGAAAAACAGTTTCACAAAAGCACTGAATGTTATAGTTACCTTATAGTTTATACATGATCTATACAAAACTAGTGCATAAAAAGACTTTAAACTATTTTGTAGTCTAGAAAAACTGCTTTTTTTTCAAAGCTCCGTTTATCTACCAACCTGAAATAAAGTTAAGTATATCTAAGATAATAAATGAAATCAAATAATTTATCAGATAATATTGTAAAACAGTAAATTAGTTAATATAACCGCATTGGTTACATATGACAACAATCAGTGTGGTGGTAAACTGTGTCCTTATTATGTGATACTTCATAATTTTAGCGTGATATTATGAATCATCCAGATTATATCCGGTATATTCATTGAGAACGATCGAAGTTCTTTATTAGGAATCTTAATTGCTACTGGGAATTTTCTGTGGATGTACTAAAATTTATTGCGTAAGGTTCTGCTTAAATGAATTCTGGTCTACAATTCAAGTAAATTTTATCGAGTTATCGAATTTATTAACAGAACCATCCGACAAGCACGTAAAATGTTATCAACTGTCGGCTGATAACCTCTCTTTGTTAACTTATTGACTGTATTTTTTTATTTTTCCGGCTGCAAAATTTGTGCATGTATTCAGCTTTGTGCAAAACAAGTGACTTGAAATTCTCTAAATGGTACTAACTTATCGTTTGGCTGATTTGAATTGTCACGTACATCACTTCTTCGTTAAGTACACCGATAAAAACTCAGTTTAAATAAAACAGTATAAAAATAACCTGATAACATTTAGAAGTTCAGTGAAAATGTACATTTGACTAAAATCAAATTTATATCGTTAATCAGTTTATAATCGATGATTTGTCGTAAACTAAAATGGACTCAATACTTACATTCTTTTACAGATTGATATTTACTGTGATACATATTGAAAATGATTGAGAATACAGGAGAAACCAATCGATAACTTACCATTTCTGACTGACAATAAAATCACTATAGAAATTACCAGTCCAGCTGTTTTATGCACCGTAATTAACATGTTAAATTTTTGCCCGAAAAAACCGATTATTGCTCGATCTAAAAAATTCGCTTTTATTTTGAAAATTTCAACTGCTGTTTGAATTATAATTACTAATATGGCTTTATTTATCTTTGGCAATAGTTTTGAAGTGTCGAATATAAATGTTTCGTATACAGTTTAAAGTTAATATTTATATGCAGTATTTAGATCTGTTTAGTCATCATACTTTCAGAAAATACTTATTACTATCATGTAGTAACATGCTTAAATATAAACCAATAATGTTTATCTATTTTCTTTGATAACCAAACGGATAGAATTTTGAATAGAATTAGTTATTTGCTGTCATCTGATTGGATGAACAGTAATTGAGCTGAAGAGCTATTTTGTTTTTAGTACAGATTGATCAACAAGTGAGTAAGCATAGAGTTATAGCTAGAATTGTTTGTCGTCACTAAACTAATAATATACTGAAAATCAAGTGTTAACATTGGTTTACTTTCTAGAGAAATAATATACATATTTGTTCGGTTTATCATTCTCTTTCATGACCCTACTATAACAAAATCGAAATATCGAACAAATGAAGTGAAATAATAAAATAATGAAGTAAATAACCAAATGACTTGTATACAAATAGATAAATTTATATTGGGAATCTATTGTCTGTTTTTATCACTTGTCTCGTTTTTGTCAAAATGTGTATCAAAAGAATATATCCGGTAAATCAGTCAGTTAGGTTGTGTAATCGTAATTTATGAAGATGTAACAGAAAATTAAGAAGGGAAAACATGTATGTTTTATTCATTGAACTAGTCAGCACTAAAAACATTTCACTCTGTATTGACATAGAATGGTTACATTAGGTCAGCGGTCAAAATAAAGCAAAACATATTTGATATTCAATCAAAAGTACAGATCTAGTCGAAAACGACAAAAGACGAAGTTCTATTGGTGGATCAATTTGTCGTAAGTCGATGGTATCCTTTGTGATGAACGTTGTGACCAACAAGTCATATGAGTCTTTGTTAACTGGTCTTGATATCATTCTGAAAATGAGAACAACTATTCTCAGATAACACTAAGCGATTGGTCTATATTATAAATAAGTGAGATTCGAGAGAAAGGATTTTCGTTTTCTATCTGGTTTAGTTCCATCTCTCAAAAGCAATAAATGAAGGTCTTTAATTCAAGTCAGAGTAATGAGTACCCGTCACTACATGGCTTACAAGTGATTTGCAGCGAAGTGTCGTCTAGAAGTCACTGCTGAATAGAAGAGTGTCTGGTCAGGATGTATGGCACGATTAGAGTGTTCTAAAGACTAGAAGATCTGTGAAAGAAGCCAGATAATAATCTTATTGTTTTGCAAATAGAAGCCTAAAAATAAGGTGAGCAAATTTAACTTAGCAGACTCTGTCTGCTATAGAAATGAACATTAGTTTTAGATAACTATTATTAATTGCTATCGAGTTCCATATGATGGCTCTGTTGATTAGGAAGACAAAATGAATATATGGGGTGGATGGATTCGTAAATTACTCAGCAGACCAATCACTGAATTCTCATCGGTTAGTTTATAGGAAACAGATTCGTCTGTTGATCTCATTGTACCTATACCGTTACTTTTTATAAACATTCGACCGGAACAATAATATAACCAAAAAACGCGTAATTTATCAAGGATGGAAGTAAATGTTTTCAAGTAAATAATGATTCATTTCGAACGAGTTTGTCAGCTGACCACCGTGCACTATTTGGCAGTTCAATTCATCGTAAGAATTCCGTATGATGTTGACTATCTTCTCAGGCACGCTGTAGTGTCAAAGAAGCCTCCACAGCGTTTTCCTGTCCACGCTATCGAATGCTTTCCCGTAGTCGATGAAGTCGATGTAGAGTGGTGAGTTCCATTCAACTGATTGTTTCACAATGATCCGTAATGTCGAAATTTGGTTGGTACACGATCGATTCTTACGAAATTCAGCCTGTCGATATTGAAGTTTTGTGTCTACGGAGTCCTTCATTCTGTTCAACAATACCCTGTTGAATACTGCCTGATATTGAGAGAAGAGTGATGTCTCTGTAGTTCCCACACTTGCTGAGATCGCCTTTCTTTGATATTTTGATCAGGTATCCTTCTTTCTCTGAACTTGTTCTGCTGATATTGGTTGCTGTGTTCTTCTTCCTTCTTTCTTGAATCTTATCCAGAGTATCAATAGAGATCTATTTTTTGTGATGGTATTTCTTGTGGCCAGCAAGTAGTGATCTGAAGCTGTTTCAACCTTTCTCTTGGTTCTTACGTCCGCCATAGTTCTTCTGAACTTTTTATTGATGCAGATAGAGTTTATTTAATTCTAAGTACTGTGATTCGGTAAAATCCATGTGGCTTTGTGTATGCGTTTGTGTGGGAATATTTTACCTCCTATGAACAGTTTGTTGAAGGCTTATAGGTTTTCAGATCTCTCACCATTTTCGTTCCTTCCTCCCAGTTCATGTCGTCCCATGATGTCTTCATAAACAATGTTGTCCATTCCAATCTTGGCATTTAGGTCTCCTATCATGATCGTCAAATCCATTGTGGTACATCTCTTGAAGATTGACTGCAACCTCTCGTAGAATTGATCTTTATCGTCTTTTTTGTAGTGATTGGTCTGTGCATTGCATTGGACGACTTTCATTGTAATTTCCCCTTTCTTTGTTTTCAAGGATGCTCTGATAATCCTAGGTCTATGAACTGTCCGTCTTATTAGAGCCGTACGTGCATGTTTGGACAGCATCAGTGTAACTCCTCGATTGTGTGAGGCATTTTATTCTTCAAGGCCGAAGTATAACATCAGCTGTCGTGAAGCTTTTCTTAGTTATCCAACCTGTCTTTCACTGATTCCAAGCACCTCCAAACTGTATCTTTTCATTTCTGCAGAAACTTGCAATAGTTTTCCTGTCTCTCACAATGTTCGAACGTTTCATGCACGTAAAAGAATGGTTGCTCTGGTTGTCAGAAACGGCATCGGCCTCATGACTTTCGAAAGAGCTCGGCTTTCATCGTGAGACATCATAACTCTTCTGATTAAAGACTTTCTAACTCCCAAGGAAGAGTGAAAATGGTTTGAATTGTTTTTTATGGTTAACGTTTTTTGAACGAGTCAGTTTACTACGGGATGGGGTCGCCAACACCATGTCCAATCCTGTTCCTTTATCCGGGCTTTGGATCGGTGGTAGCCCTAGAGGAGTTCCAGGTAAAGTTAAAAATATTTAATGTTAGTTACTACCTATAGATATGATTTATCTACACTTTCTGAACTATTTTTTTTTCTGAAAAAAATTCGAATATTCAATTTTCAATGCCCCAAACAAACTATTGTTCTATAGAATTAGTGCGCTCAGGCTTATATGCGGCTATGCTAAAGACATCATTCATTTGACTTATAACAAAAAAGCGTTTATAGTAGTTTTAAAATGCGAGTTTGTAACATTTTTGATTCCCTGCATTAGCGGCTGTATATGTTATCATCGATCTTGTTTTTGAAATAAGACTACTTTTTTCATTAAAACCTTATGTACCAAGGCTATTTAAAAAATTGAATCTATCCATTCCTGTTGTTTAGCCGTATTTAGCTAGTAACGTTATTTTATAGAGACTTCCATGATTAATGTCTCTTTAAAGCTTCTTTAAAGTATTCATCATAATGCCGCATAAGAAGCATATCGAGAAATGAGATTGATTCATTCATTTTTTGAACTTAATTTCTAAATATACGTAACAAGTGATAGACGAATGAGAAACGATAGATGAGTCGATTTCTTATTACCGATGCCAAATGTGTGATATAAATATTTTACTTAAATATCAAAGCTTTTAATGGTTGATTAAACTTGAATAATGTTACATGTTATCGTAAAGGAGGTTAGCCTAGATTGTACGTGATTTCTTTAACAGCCTTTTATTTAATTATTTTGCAGTTTATATTGAACTATTACAGTTTTTGTCAAAGATACAGTTGTACAAACAAAGCTAAAACCAAATAATAAAATAACTGTGACAGAGATATCTGGACTCTCATGACTTTTCCCAGAATTTATTATAAATTATTTTATTATTATTTAATATTTACCTTCTAACTGCCTTCAATACTTCCACCGACCTTTGAGCTATTTGACGGCGAAAGGAATTGTACACATCCATATCGGAGTGAAATAAGAACCGAAACTTATATGCTACAGATAAACTTGAGATGATAAAACTCATGAGACAGAAGTGTGAATAATTATCAGGGCAGCCGCTAATATCCAAAGTGTTTTTAAAATTTTCCTATCAATAGAATAAACCGGCGTTGATTTCAAATGGATGACTCGACAAGGATATACACTATATTTTAAAAATGGATTTAAAAATGTATTTATAACTTATACTACTTATGAGTAATTTCGACTTAATGAGTAGCCAAAATCAGACTTGTTATCCCTAATATTATTTTGAGTGACCATAGAAAAAGCTGTTAATGTGGCGTGTTGAGATATATGCAACTGAAATTCAAAAAATCAGACAGGAAAATCATAAGACAGTAGGTGTTTGTAATTTATATTTGCAGAGATTTTTTCTCACCAAATTCATATTTTAAAACTTTCAACGTTATAAGCGCACTATTCTTTCTTTTCCATAGTTAGTGGTGAACCGAATGAATAGTTGCATTTTTCCAAATCATAAAACAACTTTGAGTGCCTAGAAGGGAAAGCAGTATTTGTGTTTTATATCAGAAAGATGTTTCATTGAGTATGTTCATTCATATCTGATGCCCAAAAAGCGAATGTTTCTATTCATTGAAGAGTTCCGAGTTTCGATTTGATGCAAAACACCAAATTTGATGATTCCTGGTTTGTAAATGGGCATTGCATAAGGGCGGGAAAGTTTAAAGCTGTTATATTTTATTTCCAACCTCGCAGTTGGATGTATTAATTCATCAGTATTAAGATAATCAGTGAACCCTCCAGCTAGTGAATTAGTAGGATGTACCGGTGATGAA